CTTGAAATCTGATCATAAAAGCTCCACCCTGTTTTAGCAGTAACAACCTTATCTCCAGCACTTTTCATTTTATATAGTGAAATAATTTATTTTTTTTTTTTAATGAAATGGTTTGATGGGAACCATCTCCTATTTAAGAGGTTTTATACTGGTGTTTTATGCCAGTAAGGTTCATTTACTACAGTTTTCATAATCAGAAATGGTGAACCATTAATTTATATGTTGTTTTGCAAGAATCTTCTATATATTTACTAATAAGTAAACATCAAGTTGCCTTTACATTTCTTAATTTAGTTTAATCCATTTGAGTGCTAGATGTTTAGTGGTCATTTTTTTTGTGTGTGTGTTATGTGAATTTGGAAATGGCACTTTTATCCTTTTTCTTCTAAATCAAAAGCATTTGAAGGTGCAGAGGAGAGAGGCAAAGGTTTATTTCTTCTCTGACAAGGTTAAAACCCAATAGAAAGTCAGACAAAAGCCCCAGATCCTCACCCTGGATCTGTTTATTGAAATATTCAGATAGAATCCATTCTCTCTCTAGAGTAAATGATTTCTTTGCTGAAATTATGGTGGCATATGGAGAAGTAAGATATATTACAATAAAACTGATATAAAACAGTTGAATTCAGAAATAGTGGGAAGAGATAATTTTAGTTCACCATGATTTAATTCAATTAAATGCAACAATGTTAACTGCAGACTAAGAAGAATTGCTTGTGCGTGTGCAGGAACACACAAGCATTATTTATTCTCTACTGCATCTCTATCTGCAGAAGAAATTACACCATGGAAAACTGGGCATAGGATGTTTTCATACCACTGGAAAAAGCCACACACTTCACAGACCTCAGTGGAAATTTCACCTGAGTAAGGAGAAACTGTGAGATAACCTGTCATAGATTAGATCCATGGATTTATGTATTATGCTCTTTTTGGACATCAGTGGTGGTGCAAGCCTGTGGACTAACTTGCAAAATGGTGCCTCAAAAGAGGTTGCTACCAGCAGTGAAAATACTAGCTGCTAATTTTTTTCTTCAGGAACAAAACATTCCATCCAGACATGTATGCCCATCCTAAGCATTGCCCCGAGCCAGGCAGTGTTCTCTGCAGATGCATGTTCTCCCACAGCTCCAGGAAGCACCTCTTCTTGTTTCCTCCAAGGACCTTAGGTCTCATAGGGGAGAGCAATTTGCCAATTCCCCTTCTCTTACCATTCATGTTGCTCCCTGCCCTCACCTGCAAACAAGGACATCAGTTCACAGTGGCATGCAGGATCTCAAGGACTGTGGACTTTCATAGAGCCATTTCTAAGGTGCCTAAATGCCTTTGTGTTTGCATGTCTATGGGTCTTGCTGGCCATGCCCCAGATCCTCACTCTTGGACCCTGCCTTGTGGAAGGCTACTGAAGGGCCAGTGGCACAACCCTGAGCTCCCTCCTGGGGCAGACTGGCCCTGCAGCTGCAGGACAGCAGGCTGTGGCAGATGCATGTTCACCATGGTGATGGGAATGGGTCTAACATGGGGATGTTGGGGAGACTCCTTTTCAAAACTCTTCTGTTTCAGCCTGACTGCCTGTTCCTAATCATCAGTTCCCCTGTATAAGTCATGCTCCCAGCATCCGCTGGGATGAAAATGAAAGCCCCCAGGCATTTGTATGAGTGCTTGGCACGCTGGCATAGAGTAACAGGAAGAGATTTGGCAAATATTTCTGTATAGATTCAGCAGAAAGAAATTGCTTATTTGGTAGATATATTTTATTAGACTGTGCAAGCCAAGATGTGTCCTGCCTTGGTCAGACACTTGATGTTCAGGTGTGAGGACTCCCAGAATGAATCTTACAACCTCAGGCTTTGTAGCATACAGCTGTGTGACCAAATCCCTCTTTTTATTCATTGTATGTTTGGATCATGGAATGGCATAAACATCCAGCTCCTGTAACTCTGAGCAAAGGGATGCTTTCAGTCCTAAGGAGTGATTTTGCAATCTAAGACTAGGATGAGAGTTTACAGCAAATGAAGAATAACAGTGAGCAGAAAACAAACAAATGAATTTTTAATAGTCAGTCTGACTACTCTTACGTCAGCTGCCTGACCACTGTCTGTTCATAGACAGGCTGGTAGAAGAGGGCATACTGTTGAGTCAATTAAAAAAAAAAAAAGAATAAGTCTGAGAAACAAGGGAGAAACTGAAGGGGATGTTGTGATACATCAGTGACTGCAGCTGCTTATGCCTTGGTATTGCTCAATAATACAGGTAATTGTCTTTGATCGTATCCTTGTAACCACCACCTTTAATTTGTTGCACAGAGGTTACTATCTAGCACCCAGCTAGCCAAATGAAATGTATGGCTTGATTAAGGATCTCTTTTGTCAGTAATTTGTGCCTAATGCTTTTAGCTTTCCCACGGGCTGTTATAGAAAATGGTAAATCTGGTTTAAATGAAACCTGATACTGTTAATGGTTTAATAGCAGCTGCCACAGGGTTATGGCATTTTTCAACAGATCCTTCTGTTACATTTTAAGCCTACACTAAATCTTAGAATATATTTACATAATTAATATAAAGTACACCTACATAATAATGACAATATTTATAGTTTTAAAATATTTCCTTAAATGTCTTCCTCTGTATTGTCACTATTTAATAATATATAACTTGAAACACAAAAGCATACTATTATAAATAATAATTTTTATTTACCTCATCCAAAAATATCTAGAACATAGCACAACTATAAAAGCATAACACCTCCCAACATAGAAATTATTAATGTAGGTAAATCCCTTAACTGCTTCAGAAAAAGACAGAAATTGTTTCTATTTGGAGACAAATATGTCTATCTGGAGGTCTTGGTCTGAGTTTCAAAAAATGTTGAAGATACATCCTACAAGATACTCAGAAGTTTAAGTACTCAAATCAGAGGACACCCTTGAACATCATGGCTTACATGCCAATTCACAAGGAAGAGCAAGAAGGAGCAAAGATTCCTCTTTCCCCGTCTTCACTGTAAAACAGGGTAATGTGAATGGGAAGGCAACTGTACCAAGGCAGACACTGCTAAGAACTTTGAGGACTGAAATAGGAAAAAAAAAGTGGAAAATGTAAAAATAATATAACAAAGTCTCTATTACAGAAATATCCAAGACAGTTTAAGCGATTAGGCAAAATTCCAGTTCTCAATTATCCAGAAGAATGTGTAGAATCTACTGGGTCTGGCTGGGATGTTAACTTTCCCTGCAGCAGCCCATACAGTGCTGTGCTCTGCACTTGTAGCTAGAACAGCAGTGGTATCACACCAGCATTGTGTCTGCTGCTGAGCCATGCTGGCACAAGATCAGGACCCTCTCTAACCCTCCTACTAGGGGGTGGGCAAAAAAGTGAGTAAGGAACATCACCTGGGCAGTTGACCTAAACAAACCACAGGGATATTCCATACCATATGATGTCACACTCAACAATAAAAGGTGGAAAAAGGAAGAAGAGGTGAGGGGTGAGTTATTGTGAAAACATCTGTCCTCCCAAACACTGGCTACATGTATTGAGGCCCTGCTTCAAGGATGTGGTCAAGCATCTCTCATTTGTGGAAAGTAGAGAGTAATTTCTTTCCTCTGAACTTCCACACAGCCTTTACTTGTTTTGTTTTGTTTTGTTTTCCCTTTTCCGCTCTCTTTTCCCCTTTCCCTTTTTCCCTTCATTTAAATTGATTAATTAATAATAATCTTTCCTTAATAACTATTTTTCCCTTTAATTAAATTATCCTTATCTCCACCCATGAGTTGTTCTTTCCTTTACTTCTTCCCCTCCTCTTCTAAGGAGGGGGAGTGAGAGAACGGTTGTGGTGGAGTTCAGCTGCCTAGCATGGTAAAACCGCCACAAGGATCAGTAAATGTTCTGATGAGTGAGTGGTGTAGCTGACCTATTGTTCCCCTTCTCTCCAGGTGACTGCCTTTCAGGTCTGGTAGCCGGGGTATGATGGCAGCCGCCTTCCGTGTTCCAGATTTTGCATGTTTTTTAGTTGTCCTTTAGAATGAATTAGAACTGCTCAACAGGACTAAGATTAACATGTTAATTAAAGAACAGTTAAAATTGTGGCATAGGATTGGATTCCCTTGTCTTTGCCCTGCTTCATCCTCTACTTCTTCATGGCCATCTACTTCATATCCAATTTTTTCACACAGCAAATCTTATAGAGGGATTTATGTAACTTTATATCAGGATTCTTCACCCCTGATTTTCAAGTCTATGTCATGGGAGTGCAATTACTCCAGGGCCTTAAGGCATTGGTTACACTCTTCAACAGGTCTAAACCTGCTGAGAAGAATAGCTCTGGCTATCTTATAAAAAGTGTAAAGGGTATTAGCAAGTTTTTGGTATGTTTGAGTTTTCCACCTCAGATTCCTTTTTGACTCCATCCTGAGATTCACATGCTTTGCAAGAAGGGCTTCCATGTTCTAAGTTAAAGGAGACTACTATTGTATACCAATATCATTCCCAGAACTGTGTGGAGCATTTATGACTCAGTGAGGAGCAAGCATGTGTTCTCATTAGGTATAAGAGTAGGTGATCAAGTAGGTGAACCCTTCAAAGTTGCTGCAGAACGAACCCAGTGGTGAATCTGAATAAGATTTCACAGGGACGTCTCATATTCCAACGTTGATTCATTTTTTTTTTTTTTTTAATTTTCTTGGGGCAATGTTATTCTACTACTGGTAAGTAAAGAGACTTTCAGAAAGCCAGGGGAAAAAAGAAACCACAAAATTAGCATGAATAAAGTGCACAGCATTTTCTGTCCGAGTGGGAAATTGTTCAAAGATGTGATTTAGTGGAAAGAGTTTTTTTTCCACCATTTTAGTGGAAAGAGCTCTTTAGTGGAAAGAGCTTTAGTGTGCAAAATTAATTCAAAGTTATGATGTTTGTAGAGTGTTATATGATAAAAGAAAGATGTTTCCCTTGTGATGTTTTTAAAACAAATAATTATTTTATTTTCCTCCTTTGCTAGGTTCTACCACCTAGAAAGGCTGTGAAGCCGGGCATGGTAGTACTCTTTGAACTCTTCCTTCTTGGTGGAACCTATACTTGGATTGATCGAGAAGTGGGATGGGGGGTTTTTCCCTTATGTGACAACAGTCTGAATGCTTTGGAGGGAAAGTTCAAATGTCCTTTCCTTAGAGGCCATTATGATTCTAAAATTGACCGATTCAAAAAAATTGAAAATTTAATTTCTCAAGACTTGGACCATTGGCTGTGCAATCTATACTTTCAGGTTTGTACATAAACATTTCTGTTTTGTTTGTTTAATTGAGAATAAATTCCACATTTTTTCCCCTGTCATCCTTAATCCTTTGTCCTGTTTTCAGCTAAGATAAAGTTAATTTTCCTCCAAGTAGCTGGTATGGTGCTGTGTTTTAGATTTAGGATGAAGATAATGTTGATAATAGGCCGATGTTTTAACTGTTGCAGAACAGTGCTTACACTAAGCCAAGGACTTTTCAGCTTCTCATTCTGCTCTGCCAGTGGTGTGCACCCCCAGCCAGGGGGTGCACAAGAAGCCAGGAGGGGGCAGAACCACACCAGCTGATCCAAACTGGCCAAAGGGATATCCCATAACATATGGTGTCATGCTGAACAATTAATGTGGGGTGACTAGTTGGGGTATGAGGGAGAACCAGTGCTCAGGGATGGGATGGGCATTGGTCAGCAGGTGGTGAGCAATTGCATTGTGCATCACTTGTTTTGTACATATTATTACTGTTATTGTTGTTATTACTATTATTGTTTTATTATTTCTCTTTTTTTTTTCTGTCCTATTAAACTGTCTTTATCTCAACCCACAAGCTTTTACTTTTTTTCCCCCAGTTGTCTCCCCCATCCCATTGTGGAGGGGAAGGTGAGCAAATAGTTGTGTGGGGCTGAACTGCCTGCTGGGTTAAACTACAACATCCTGTCTTCGTAAAAAAAACAGTTTATCAAGCTACCTACTAGACATATAAAGAAAATGAACATCAAATACATCTCCAACTCTCACCTGAAATTAATGATTTTTCAAAGCCAGATTGTATTTGAAATGCTGAAATACTGTTTGTAGTCCTGGATCAAAAAATAAGACAAAGTTAAAATTCTGAGTTTAAAATTCTGAGTTTAAGCCTGTCACCAGTATATGTGAATTGGCACCACAGTTTTAGTGAATCTCAGAGGTGCTTTTGCAGTTATACATGGCTACAAAATAAAAGAGTGTGGTTTATGATATCATTGCATTTGTATGCCTGGGATCCCTAGCTACCAAGTGGGGATCTGTTGTAGAAACCTTACTTTTGAATAGGTTTTTGTCCAAACATACATAATTATTATTATTTTTTTTTTTTAATAACTGCTTTAAATAGGCCTGAATTAAGAACTCTTTTTCAGTGGAAGCTTTGTTTCTGGAATTGTAAATTAACTGTGTTGTTTGTAATTGAAATATGTTCCCACATTTGGAATCCTAATGAGACCTCAAACTTATACCTCTTTTATAGTTGTTTCTGGATCAGGAAAAAGTAGTTACCAAAAGTGGTGAATTTTGAAAGTATCTTAATTATAACATGGGTTCCTTAAAATAAAGTGTACTTATTCGTTCTGCATTTTTTGTAAAGGTGTTTTTAGGGTAATCTTCATTTTTAGATATACTAAGGAATTGAAAATAACTTCAGAATCATGTAAAGCAACAAGAGTTTAAAGTTTAAGAGCAAAAGAATACATCAGACAAGCTAGGAAAGGGCAAGAGAAGAGTCAAAGTAGTTGAAATGGGGTAAAAAAACTCAGAAAATTAGTCTTTCAACACAATGCATAATCCTCATGGCTGGGATGATTTAACAAGCCAGGGAATCTATACTTTCCTAGATGATTTGGAACATGAGTCACCTCCATTTACGGGGTGTCCACCTTAGTCTGTGTGTAAAGGAAATGCATACAGGAAACTGATATGAGAGCAGAGTGTAGTAAATGGAGTATGGAGAAGCAAGAACATTCTAAAATGCTCATACCAGTGGACTTCTAGAGTTCACAAATAGTGTATGCTTGTATGTTTTGGCTTTGTGGAATATTGAACTGATTATGTGTTTTGCTTTTTTTTTTTTTTTTTTCCTTAATAGATGATTAAACTACCACAGGATTCAGATAAGCAGAATAAACATGATGTGCATCTTCATCTGCCACCTGAACTTCCCATGTATTCCAGTATTGCTGAAAAGAATGGTGCTTCAGAGAAGGTTAAGTGTCATGGACCACAAGGTGATGATTTCAAACTTTAACATTTAAATTCAGGCTTTTATTGGAGCAACCCTTCATTTCATTTCAATATTAGCTAGTTGTTAGTGTTCTTGTCAAGCTAGATTTTCCTCATTCAGGTATTGGTCCAACATGCGTTATAGCAGGAATGGTGATTCTTTTTTATTAAGATTGCTTAATTTTGTTTTCAGTTGTGAGCAATTTAAACCACCCTCATTGCTGAAGATGAAACTTTCCATGCTGACTTCTGCTTGAGGCTGAATAATGCTTGGAAAGTCACAGTAATAATAGTTCAGCTGGTTTTGACAACAGGCTTACAGGATTCTTTTTTTTTTAATAATACTTTATGTCTAATTATTTTTGGAAGAACTCTAGCACCTCCCTGGGCAAGAATAGGGACTTCAAGTTTGACAAGGAGATAGCTCTAGTGTTATAGTCATGCCTTATGCTATTCCTATGAAATTTTATTAAGATTCAGTCAAGTGGTAACCCAGAGGAAAGCCAAATTATCATTTGCTTATGTGGAGCGGACCTCCCCAGAAGCTTCCTTGCAAAACTTCTAAATGTTCCCGTTAGACTGAACATCCTCTCTGGCCTCAGTGAGTCTTCTGAGGTAGCTAAGTTGAAGACATAATTAACCATATTGTGATGGCCCTTCCCAAATTAGTTATCCTCTTCCCTTAAGAATGCAGAATTGGAAAGAATGGGAGGACACTGCCATTGGGTTTTCTCTTTCAGTGTGTGGGATCTGACTGCAAAGCTGGAAGGGACAATAAGAATTATTTTCTGGCATACAGACATGCTTATGTTCCCTCTTGTTTAATGAATTGAAGGATGCAGCCAACCCACAGGTTTTAGGGTCTGTGTGAGTATTATGTGTAGATCTGAAACAGAGATTTAGTTCTTAAAGACAGAGGTTCATCAGGCATTTGATAACAGCAGCAGTGATGCATGATAGAAGACATGGGAGGAGAAAGAGGAGGATGTTGTAAGGAAAGGAGGAGAGCAGATAAGCAGTAACCATTTACTGTGGCAAATGAACAGCTCAGGTTGGATGTGTAACATCAGAAGAGTCCAATAGAAATGTTTTAAGACTGTGAGAGATGGTTTAGGAGATAAAGTAAATGAGGTTTGCCCTGCATCACTTTTAGGCTAAGCAGCAACCAAACTGATCAAAAGAGTTTTATGTACCCTGATACCAGAACTACAGCGGTTTAAACATACATCATGAGGATTAAGGTATTTTTGTTGCCGTGAATCTTCTATATGTCTGCTAAGAATCTTCCTTCTCCAGATTCAGAACAAACCAATGAATAGTAGATCCATAAGGTGGAGTTGCAGCCAATTTTTCTCAACAGTAAAAAAGAGTTATAAACAAGCTTTTAATAAATCAAAACTCATCCTTACCATTATTTTGTCCTACCATTATTCTTTCCATGTACACAGACACACACATAACAAAGGGGCTGCAACTAAATAGATAACTGTTTTGGAAATTAATAAAAACCTGAGATACTCAGATGCAGAAAGATGTGTTTCTAAGAACTTAGGAAAAGCATTAGTGTATGTCCTATTTGACATGCAGACCTCTGAAATATGCTGATAAGCTGATCATGGAAGATCTGCAATTTCCATGCCACACAGATTTACATTAACAAAATTCCATGAGTAATTTCTGATATTGTTTATATTTATTTATTTTTCTTGGAACCTTCTTTAAAGATATTATTAGCTGCTAATATCCCCCATGGGTTTGCTTTTTAATGTATCTATGCAGTGCTACAGTATGCTGTTTCTGCTGGTGATATGTTGCTAAGAGATTTAATAATGGGTAAACAAACACAACATGTGGTAATCCATTTCAAATTAAAAGTTTATTAAACGCTAGCTTGATGACTTTCTGGCTATTTACAATTAAAGGAATGAACCTTAGGGAACTGGAGATCACGTGGTGAAAAATCACGACTTCAACATTTCCAACAGAAAGATGTGTTTATGATCTGTGGCAAGCTGTCGCACATTGATATGCTCTATAAATACTATATTATATCTGTTAAAACACCAAAAGCAGGGAAAAAAAAAAAAAAAAAAAAAAAAAAAAAGCAGCTCTGTTAATGTGACATTAAGGTTGAGACACAAACCAGAAAAAGCAAGAACAGTCTAAATGAAGACTGGTGCTTTGTAACTCACTCTATTGCAGTAGTCTAAATAGTGAGTTAGTGAGTGATCTTACATATCAATGCCATATGTGGTGCTGCAACATATAAGCAAAATAGAGCAGGTTAGAAGATGGTGTTTTATCCTTCACTTCAAATTTGTCTTGGTTATATAAGTTTAGGACAGAACCTTCATATTATTTCCACTGACTCCAGGCTACATTATTCTTTTAAACCGTAGATCTTTATTGAGCTAGGTATGGCTCTTCCCTCCTACACAGGAACTCTCTTTCAATGCACACTAGGGGAATGCTACCTAATGCTCCCTATAGCTTCCATTCTACCTTCCTTTTAGGTTATGAATGTGCATTATCACATCCAGTGCATGCTTTTAGTCCAAACCACATCTTTTCTCCATTCTTCTGAAGTGTTATTCCTTGTAAGGTTCATGGAAGAGGACAGCTTCTGCTTCCATGGTCACCATTCTCTGCTGTTTTTAAGAAAAGTTTCTGTTATTTTTAGTCTATTGCCCCATTACAGGCTCAACAGGCTCTGTCAATAAATAGATGACAATTTCTGCCTGGAATTCATTAGCTATTGTTGTGTGTTTGGAAGGCAGCAACAACTCTAATAACATAGGTATGAAAATTTGATGCAACTAGCAGAAGTTGATGCAACTAGGTTTGGATATAAATAAGCAAGTATTCTAAATGCAAGAAAACCTCTTTAGAATCAATCTCCATATAAAACATTAGACATAAACATTCTTGAAGAGACTGCTCTTTATCAAAGCAAAATCCACAGCTAGATCTCTGTTGACTTTAGCATCCATAGAAGAGGGGATTCACATGTGTAAAAGGCCAGTGTAATTCAGTTGCATTCAGAAGAGTGTTAGCTCTTTCAGCCTCAGCAAAGTATCTGGACAGAACTTTCATATCTGTTCTCTAGTTCAAACAACTTTAGATCAGACCCATTTAGGAAGTTTTACTCTACACCTGTTGGGAACATTCTTCCAGTTACATGCTTTGCTATCTGTGCTGTTCTTCTGGCTTGTAAAATTAAAGGAAAACCCACTTCATTCTAGTCAGTTACTCACATCTCTTTAAAATTGGCTAGTTTGAAGTTTTGGTGTTATGCTCAGCACTGAACTAGTATATAATGATTTGTATTCAAGACCTCAAAAGGGTGCTTAGAAGGGAGAAGGTGGAAGAGTGGCTGAGGAGGAGTAAGATACTAGAATAGCTTTTTCAGTGCAATGTTGTGTGCTGTTTTTGGCCAAGTTACAGTAAAAATCACTACCTGGAGCTAAGCACTTATGACAAATGGTACATCTTTTTAAGCAGAATCTTGAAAGTTTCACAACTGTGTGGAACCAGGAGGGGAGTTTTGCATTGTGTTCCTAAGCCACGGCTGCCATTGTGGATGCCCTTGCTTTGAAACCACATAGGACTGCAGGCTGGGAGTTTGCCTTTACTGAAAGCTAAGGGAAATAAGTGCTATGTGAATGTTTGCTCTAGCCTGTCAGTGTTAGAGCTGAGGCCAAGGTTTTCAAGGAAAATGTTTGAAGGTAGCTGAGTTGTTTTGGTCTCAGCAGCAGGATGATCTCGCTGTAGTAGAGCTATGATACAGGCTATATTAGCCTGGGTAGTGTTACGTTAGCATGATTGCACTACTCGTGTTATCTGGGTTGGCAGAGACGTTTGTTGCTGCTGTTTTGCAGGGTGGATGTATCACATGGAAGGACTCCCACTGCCTCATCATTCTTTGGACTAGATCCTTATGAAGGCAACATGCATGTTTTCTAGGCATCTGTAGTATTTTCTCTCCAAGAAGTCTGCTTGTCCCTCATTCCCCCTGCTCTACTACACTTCAGGAATATAAATAAAAAGCAACTTAACTCTTCAAGAATGGTTTTAAGGACTTTTATTTTCACTAGCATATAATGAAAAAACAGCTCATTCTTTTCCTAAATTTTATATACTCCCCTTCAAGGTTTGCTATCTTATGGCTGGCTCATGTGCAACGTGAATCAACCAGAAGAAAACTTAATGCAGCTGTTTTTTGTTTTTTTTTTTTTCGGTTCCCAAACAACAAGCATATAATGGAAATAAATATTATGAAGTAGAATCATTTTAATTTATACAATTTATCAATTTAAAATACATTATAGAGCATTTTTTTCAGTATTTCTTCCTACTTTTTGCTTGCCTGGCTGTTGAAAGCAGCATTGCTTTCTATCATTTGGCTTTGGCAGTCCCTGAAATACACTGGAGTTGTAAAGCTTTAAACAGTTGCGCAGGTCTTTAATTGTAAATTAGTTTTGACAGAGCTGCTAGGCAAAGGCCTGGCCCATACCGTCATGATGCTAGCTGACAACCCCTTACTGCTCCTGGAGCAACGAAACATGTGGAAGGAATTGTTCTTCTACATTTCGCAGCTTGTCATTTCCTCTGCAGGGCAACCTCTGACCTCCCTGAAAGATCCTGACACCCATAAGGGAAGTATTCCCACTGTTGTAAAGGAAGTGGAAAAGCAGTTTAATGCTGAAAAAGGAGGAGAAGCGTGTGCACCAGAAGAAACTGGGAGGAAAATGGAAGAGCTTAAAATGCTTCCAGCAGGTTAGGACTTTTATTGCATCATTTAATTTACTCAAAGTTTGCAAATAGATCTGTTTGGCATGTGTGTAAATACCCTCATCTCCCTTCCCCTTGCTCTGTGATATCATCTCATAATTATTTCACTAGGCAAAGGAAGTGATGGAAGAGTTTAAGTCGATTCTGAGGGATCAAAAGCAGCTTAGGCAAGAAGGTACAGAAGTGGTGGGCTCCTCTGTCTAAAATGTATTAGTAGGCCAAATGTGTTAGCAATTACAAGGTGTGTGTGGAGTGTACTGACAACATTAAATTATGGCTGGTGTTTCTGTGATGTTTTTACATCCTTTCATTTTATTTGTTCACTTATATCCATGGATTACATGTTGTTAGATGCTTGGGGAGTATTTATTCTTCCTGCAACATTTTTAATAGCAATATCCTTTATTAATTGTGCTGAAATACAGTAGGAGTGCTTGTCTGTATTGACATCAGGTAGCATTTGTTTCTGGGACGTGGGATTTCTTTTGAAGGTGAAAGTCTTGCAAATTACACTGTTCTTTTTATCCCAGGTAAATTGTGTTTCTGAGAATTAGGAAGTATAACTCCTAGGTCCTATGCTAAGCTCAGATGCTAGCATGATGTCCAGAGACAGATTCACCATAGGACAAGCTAAAGGAGGGGTTGCCCCCATAATTAGGGTCTGCAGTTGTACCCAGCACTCGGGGCTCTCCTACCTACTGCAAGGGTCAGCTTTTGTTTTAGGGAATGGATGATTCTCACTCCCTTGAAGTGCAGAGAGAGCTAACTGTGCAAGTGACAATAAATGAATCCTGACACTTGAAAGAAAAGTGCGGTTCTCCTTTTACAGCAGGACGTTATGGTAGGCCATTTTAGACACTGAACAGAAAAAAAAAAAAAAAAAAAAAAAAAAAAAAAAAAAAAAAAGAGGTAAGAAATAGCTACCTGAGGGTTCCTGCATAAGCAGTAGTTCTTGGTATTTTTCAAATCTGTGGTCTTCACAGAACTACACAGTAGACATTTGGATGGTGGTTTTAAGCCAGTATTCATGGCAGTTTTCCTTTTAGAGCAACCCCCAAAACAATTCAAAATCATTTCTCTGGAGGTGTTTGTTGACTGACCAATAAGACTAGGACTCTGTGTCTGCTCTTATGAGCACATGAGTTGAATAGCTCATGTTAGGTTGGTACAAGCAGAGGTAAGAGCTTGCATGGCATTGATTAGTAAGGACTTATAACGACTGTGCATTGATACTGACCACCATAGATGCATAAGAAGGAGAATACAGAGTTAATGACAATTTCTGCTAAAGGGTGTTGGTGACAAATATTAACCAGGTTATGGAAAAATTGTAACTAAAATTTCAGTACACCTCATAATAAGACCAACACTTTGTTAACATGTCTTTTCTGGATGTTGTTCCTTCAAAGAATATAATCACAGCTCTAACTTAGACCTTTTTTCCCCATGTTTTTACTTTGGGGAAATTTACATGGAAATTCATTCAGTTCATGTGCACATTAGTTGCGCAAAGCAGCTTAGAGCACTCACAGTATTTTAATACAAATAACCTGTATGAACATAATTATATTAAATAATATCTAATGGTATTTTGACATTTGCTTTTTTATCTGGTTTATATTTTTTTTGAAGACTTATTCTCCTTGGCAACATTTGGATGGGTCTACATTTAGAATGTATGTCTCATAAAGCAATTAATTTTTCATAGAATCATAGAATCATAGAATATCCTGAGTTGGAAGGGACCCTTAAGGATCATCAAGTCCAACTCTTGACACCGCACAGGTCTACCCAAGTTCAGACCATGTGACTAAGTGCACAGTCCAATCTCTTCTTAAATTCAGTCAGGCTCGGTGCAGTGACCACTTCCCTGGGGAGCCTGTTCCAGTGTGCAACCACCCTCTCTGTGAAGAACCCCTTCCTGATGTCCAGCCTAAACTTCCCCTGCCTCAGCTTAACTCCATTCCCGCGGGTCCTGTCACTGGTGTTAATGGAGAAAAGGTCTCCTGCCTCTCGACACCCCCTTACGAGGAAGTTGTAGACTGCGATGAGGTCTCCCCTTAGCCTCCTCTTCTCCAGGCTGAACAGGCCCAGTGCCCTCAGCCGTTCCTCGTACGTCTTCCCCTCCAGGCCTTTCACCATCTTCGTAGCCCTCCTCTGGACACTCTCCAACAGTTTCATGTCCTTTTTATACTGTGGTGCACAGAACTGCACACAGTACTCGAGGTGAGGCCGCACCAGCGCAGAGTAGAGCGGGACAATCACCTCCCTTTTTGTGCAGGTAGACAGCTATTCCTTCTGCTCTCTTCTGCCTATCCCCATCACCAATGTTTACCTAGGTCTAAAACTACAATGTCAAAATTTTATTCAACTTAGTTATGTGGAATTTAGTAGATGTCCAATGTTAAATAAAACATTTTAGGGCTCATATTTTCAATTCAAGGTCTCTTTACAAATACCCTGAAACAATGTATTTAAAGAAGTGGTCTGATTTTGAAAGGTACTAAATTACAATGACTTTGATTGAAGTAAGATTAAGAAATTGTTTTGCGTAATTAGAGGATCTTACTCAGTATACTCTGTAAGAAGAAATACTACAATCACGTACAGAGAATTAAAAAAAAAGATCTGGTATAATAAGGGAGTCTACCTGAACTTCCAGCAGACCTCCAAAGGCATCCCTGGATTTGCAACAGGCAAAAATTATTTTTGTTCATCTTTATTCACATATCAACAGATTTTTTTTTTCTTGAAGAGCTCAATTTATGATGTTTGATAAGACTATTACATGTTAATTTAATTCAAAACTTGGGTTTCAAAAGTTCCATTTGTTTTATGATGGAGGATTGTCAGTAATGTAACCAGTAAACTCAATATCTGCACTCAGAACTAGAGAGGGGAAAATGTTTCACTTTGAAATCCTCCAATAAGTTATGCAGAATCATGTATAAACTAGGATTTATAGTCTATCTAATGTTTAATTTCAACATCATTTTCCTGCCCATCAATGCTCACCCCAACAGGCAGTGCCTCCCCAGCCTTCCTCTCAACTGAAGCCTAATTTATTTTTTTCATAGTCCCCAATTACACATGTACCACAGTAAAAATCCTAGAAACGTGTTAAATAATTGTCACAAATATTGTTAGTCAACCTGTGACAGAAAGCTTTCTGTTCATGTTCTGTTTTTCCTTCATTCCAATGCTCTATCACCTTTCTATAGCACACCCAGAAGAAATGTTTGGACCCTGATTTTCAAATCTACCAGCTCAGAAATATTCTTTTGTTTAATGTCTGTTTTCAAAAATAAACCAAATATTGTCTGAGAATATTTAAGAACTTCAATTTGAAACTCCCTCCATGTCTGTGAAAAAAACATTGCAAGTGAATTGTGTCCTTTCATGATATCAAAAAACATTTGTCTGAACAAAGCTTCAGAATAACACCTAAGAAAGGGAGGCACTCAGTCCTCAGTGCTCTTGCAGATAATACTCAGCATTGTATTCAGAACATATTAAGTTGTCCCCTCCATATAAAAACAAACAAACAAAGACACAAACAGAGACACAGCGTCATTGTACTTTTGTTATTATGTTTGGACAGAAAGAGTTTATTTTTTAAAACAGACTTGTGTAAGTGAGAAATGGTTCTGTTGAGAGGATTGTTCTGTTGAGAATACTCACAGATACTTCTGAAACAATTTTTTGAAAATCATTGAGTCTTCCTTGTAGTATTTCTCATTATGCTGTAACATGATGCTTTTTCTAACATGCTGGTTACATCTCCATAATCATTGCATGCAGATGCAAAAGTAATAACCTAAAATAAAAGCCCCCAGAGCTGTTCTCATTGGTAGCTCCTCATGGGTGCCACATTCAAGGGAAGGATGTTTTAAAATGAAGGTTACTTGCCCTTCATACTTTGTACAGGCAGAGACTGAGGTGGCTGAACCTTCTCTTTCTCTGATGATTTTTTTTTACTCTAAGTGGGACTGTGTAAAGGATTGGGTGATTCTTGCAGATAGGATTAAATTCAACTCCCACTTACAGTTGTGCAATCAATATAATCCACATTCTTTTCTTTTTCCAATTCTTACCACGTCGATTGATTCCCAAAGGGCAGGGTGTAACTGAGGAGAGAGTCCCGATTGACTTTTCATGTTGTTCTGTAATTCAGCCAAGTTGGAGATTTGTGTGTCTGCTGCCCCACTCCTGGGTGGCACCATTGTAAAATTCTTACCCCCTGACTAAAAAAGAAGTTGTGGCCATCTGAAGGGAGTGCACTTTATCCTTCTCTGACTATAAAAGTCAGAAATATTTCCTGTCAAACCATCTTAAGCTAATTTCCTAGCTTGTGACTGTCCTGTTTCTTTTTGTTCACCTTTTTAAAAATTGAGTGTTTAAAAATGCTCATTTTCATGGTGATAACAATTTCAGTAGAAAGAACAACTGAATTTCTAAACATCTTGTCCAATATTCAAACAGGATAGAGGAGACTCAGATCCAAATTACTTTCTTGTTCTCTTCAATTTTGACTTCTGCAGGTCTCTTCCCACCCCTGAATATCTCAAAATTTCACAGTAAATTATCTATATGTATCCTTTAAAACATTCATAGTACAGACAATTTTTCCCATTCCGTTCCAATCCCAGTTCACAAAGGATGTATCTAACTTTTAGGTTTTAGGGCAATTTTGAAGCAAATGTCCTGCTCCACTTGCTGCTCTCTGGTTCACTTTGCAGAGTAATCTCAAGATCAGAGGGTCTGGACTCCGTTAAGATGAAGCTAAGCAACAGGGTGCACTTTGGGATTATGCATCAGGTAGGACAATTAGGTCCATCAATTTCCAGGATGAGACTAGTGCAAACATGAAAGAAACCCTTCAACACACAGTAGGATCCTCAAAGCTTACTGTGGTCCTCGGAATTGCCACTTTCACTCCACAGACCCACCCTTATTGCACCACAGTACTTGTTACAGAAGACATAACCAAAAAGGGTAAATTCCAAACTTGATGTAGGTGATTAAAACATTTCCATTATACTCTCCAGGGGCTGAGAGGCAGTAAGACACCCTCCATGATTAAGAGTCATGCTAATACTCTCAACTATTGCCCCTAAAAGGCTTATGCTGAGAAAAGTAGTTGCATAGCATTAATGTTTTAGTTTCCAACTTTCCATCCTGTTTATTAAATGTAGTTCCCAGCTGAACTCATGGACTTGTCACAGGTGACATATTCATTGCATCTCATATCAGATGTGAGCTATGTAGCATCTAAATTCTTTTTTGGGTGGACTTAATATAACCAAGAAATAAGATCGCCCTCTTTCCCAGTCTTTCTCAAATCTAGGTGTTATGTTATGCCTATTCCAAAGTGGTGGGTAAAAATGTCAGCTATTTTTTCCTGTTTGCCTTATACAGATGCATATCATCAAAACCATTCTGCTGGAGTTCCTATTAGTACCTGATCACTGATTTAAAGCATTGCAGTTATATTAAGGTTTTTATTGTTTTTGCCAGGTCCTGGTATAATCACACTTTCCCATTCTTATGTAAATTATCTAATTTATTAACAGAAAGTTTACCTTGTTGTACCTTTATCATAGTTATGATACCTATCTTTGTTCATTCTTACTTGGTGCTATTTTCTCCTCTTCAAATTGTTCATTTTTATCATGAATGGTGTTATGCTCCCTTGTCAGGGAACAAAATGTGTTTTGAGTCAATTTACTAAAATAGTCACTGCTAAGTGCTATATCTGGACAAAGTTGACACCTTTGACATTTTCTAAAATGGCAAAAATAACTGTATTTAAGGTATGATTTATGGGTACTATATATCAAAGCAATTTCTATGTTACTACAGTTTCTGATGCAGTCATCCCAACTCCTTCAATGAAGGAGCTGTTGATAACACAGCTAATTAATGTTTTATTAGTTTTCTGTGGTCAATTTTAAAGAGTCTTAAAAAAAAAAAAAAAAAAAAAAAAAGAGCTAAAATACAATTTAATAATGAAGAACTCTGTGAATCTTTTTTTCTTTCTCAGAACTGCTTTGTTTTGTGCATATGGAAGAAAAAATGTCTACATAGCTCAATTTTATAAGACACATTTCCCCCCACTATGAGCAACTCCTATGATTAAAAAGAAGACTGGAGTCTTTAGATGTCTTTCTGATTGCTGGCCTCTATTAAAATCTTCTTAAAATAATAGATAGGTTTAATTCCTCAAGTCAAAGAAAAATTATATCATCTTAAGTATTTTCCATATTTATTATATTGATGAGACTTGGCTATAGAGAAAAAAAAAGGAAGCAAAATCTCTTGTATTGCAAGTTTTAAATGTACCAGGCTAAGGTTTACTTAATTAGAACCTCCAGGCAATAAAGGAGCCCTTTTTTTAAATTCTGTGAATCTTAATATGCTAAATAATGCAAAGCTTCAACTCTTCAAGCATGAGACACACATCTGGCAGCTTAACATTTAAATTACAGAAAAAAAAAAAAAAAACACAACACTTCAGTAGTAATTTTCATGAAGAAAAGAGTGGGAAATGTATTACATCTAAATTTAATTTCTTTTTAGATTTTTCATCCTGTCTAATTGTAAGCATTTGCCATCTCCTTTATTTATTTATTTTCATACATTTTTTTTTCTGTACTTTTTATTGATCTTTAATTTGAGCAGCTTCTTACTGTTATAGCATTGAAGAGTTACAAGGTGTTTTTACTTGGCAAAAATTGTTTAGAGAAATCTATGAGGAATTAAAGTAATGAGCTCAGTGGTATAGAAAGAGACAAACATTCAGAGGCTTACAAATAAAATATTAAAAAAAAAAGCATGTAATGATTAAATAACAAACTAGAGATCCCATTTCTAAATTTAGAGTACCATTGTTTTCTTTATTCTTTTTATTGTGTGATTTTTATTTTTATTTTTTTGTCCAAGGTAATTATTGCTTTGTTCATTTGCCTGCAAAAACGTTGTCAAAGTTTTCATTATTTCAGCAAGGCTATTTGGGAATTATTTCAGTTACAAACAAAAAAATAAATAAATTGCACAACAAAGAAAACCACAGTAACCATCTTTTCAAAGGTATGCTTATATTTTAGTATGTGTCTGTGGGTTTGTATATGTATCACATGCATGGAATATGTGGAAAGGATTCAAACTATTTGTGCCACATATGTGCAGAAGCGTGACAAAACCCAGTAACTAATTCGTGTAACTTCACTGATTTCAGTAGACTTCTTCTTTCACCCCACCTGTAAATCCCCGATGAGTGCTCAGCATATATATACCTGTATATCCATAGATCTACAAACAAACTGTACCATATTTTTATAACGTATATCTACAGCTATAATAGCTAAAGGCAATTATGTTTTTAAGGACATTTGACTGTCTTTTATTTAGGGGGAATTGGAACCAACTGGGAAAAAAAAAAAAGTAATCATTAAGTATATTTTTGGCTTATCTTCTGTGTGCCATAGATTAAGAAATACAATGCAGATATTTATTTCCTCCTCACCATTGCTTGCCATTATGTGAGAGTACATTTGTGTTCATGCTGCAGATCACTGCTTTTCCGTATTTTGACGGACTCACTAACTAAGTAAACGTTGCTTAGAAAACATTAATACTTCAGATCCCCATGCCTCATTTGGTGACATTCTCGATCCACAATCATGGCCATGCAAGAAAACAAACTTTCTTCTCTTTTCAGATGAACATATTCCAGAGTGTTTAAAATATCTTTCACTGTTCTTCTTGAGTCTATTTTTTTTCCTACTTATTCTTTCTCCATGGTATTTATACAGTCATTATTTCCTGCACCACAGTATCTGAAGTCTTCCTTGCATCAGCCTAATGCTTCTGGAAGGTAGGAAAAAACAAACAACCTACTTACAACTAGCACAAATGGGGAAAAATGACCTGCCTGGAGTCATGCAGGACTGTGGTGGAGGAGGGAACAAAACCCAGTTCCTTCCTTTTCAGAGTTTTATCTTATGTACCAATATAAAAATGCACCTTTTCTATTACAGAGAATGATTTTTACCAGGATTGCTCTGGCTATACAGATGATCACTGTGGTATCTTTCAGCTGAAAGAAGAACAAGGAATACGGCACAAGGTACTGGCTTTAGTCTGAGCATCACCATCACCCTGCAAGTGCATGGTGAAACCATTGGAGCTTCCACCTGTGCCATTTAGGAATAAGTTGGGGGTGTTGTTGTTGCTGGGTTTCTTTAACACTGTGGATTTGATTACAGCTACCATAAGGTTTTACGTGGCCAGCAGTATTTCTGTCTCCTGTGTCTGTCTCAGCCAAAACAAAACAAAACAAAACAAAACAAAACAAAACAAACGAACAAAAAAATTTCCAAAGAGGAGTAGGAAAGACCATCCAATAATCAGGCAATAATAATAACAGCTTGATCGAGGCTGCACTGCAAGGTGATATGATTTCAGTGATATTTAAATGCAACATAGATTTCCTATGTATATATAAACTTCAAGTCCTCATTTCCTTGTGCAGAAGAACCATCATCAGGTTCTTTTTAGTATTCGTATTCCTTGTAAATTGGTCAAGGACATAATTAATTTGTGAACAAATATTTTGTCAATACAAGGTACCATGAAATCACATATGTATTGTGACAACACCTCCTGGGGGAGTTATACCACATAAATACTGAGAACTAAGACAGAAAGAAAACGTGTTCCTGAAAATTTGTCCATTACTTCTACCTGCATAAGCTGATTAAGTCAGATATTTTCTAAGCAAAGATGCCAGTTTTGTCTTTAAGTGTTGCTACCCTTTAGCTCTGCATGAACTGTGATTGCAAATGTGAATATTCGAATTAACAGTTCTGGCAATTCATCTCACCCTGTTCTAGTCTACTCTGAAACATTTTTAATGCTTTTAATTGCCAATGGAAAAACATCATCATGGTTAAACAGTACTCAGAGTACTCTTGAACTTGTATACATGTACTATCTGCATATACCTGTACATGTACCATGGTATGAATACCTAGTAGATGGGAATTATTATTGCAACTTTTACTTATTAGTGTTTTTCCATACTTGGTGATGATTTGCATATAAATATCCATGAACAAAACCAAACTGGGCAATGGGAAATTCCTGCATTTTAAATGACTATGTTTTCAAGTGACTTATTTCTTTAGGGAAGTAACTTAGAGAAATCAGAGTTATAAATGAGTTTAACTGCAGACTGATCTGTGTGTAGTCTTATATCTATAGGAAGACCAATCTAAAGACCAATGAAGTGGGTGTAATGGGCAAAGCAACCCAACCCATGGGAGTGGTAGAATGAAAGTCATTTCCTACAATCCCATAATAGCACATTGCCTTTGAACAAAATGCCACACTCTTAAAGGATCCTCAGATGTGGCTAGCTCTCAAAGCCACATTAAAGTGACCTGATTTTAGCAAGGTGCATAAGCTCAAGGGTAATTCAATACTGTCTAGCCCCTTTGGATTTAGTGAAATGACTCACTAGCTTACAGTTATTGACATGTTTAAATAGATTTCTGAACTGAGAGTCTTACAAGAAAAGTTCTGCACAAAAGAAACGTGAGCATGTGAAATCTCATTTCAAAGGTTGTAAGAGCCCCTCTTTTTTAATAGGATGAGTGAACCCTAATGTTCAGAGATCCCTGTTTTAGCACATTCAAGATTTAGACAATCTGAACTATGTCATTTAGGCCTACTTGTAACTCTGAATTGAAAATGTCTTCTAAAATAATTTTACTCAACAATCGTAAATTGGACACAATTCAGAACTAGCATAAACAGGGGGAAGACAGCAGTTCATGTAGTGGATTATTCAACTCGACTACCACTTTTCCTTCTGAAAAAATATATATGTATGTATGTATATATATATATATATATATATATATATATATATATAAACACAAACAGAATTTTGGGTCTCACCTAACCATTTTGGGAAAAGTAGATTACAACAGTGAAAACAATCATAACCCTTCAGACCTCCAATCACCTATGCTACAGAAATACATAATCTCCCACTGAGTATCTCCTGAGCAATGGGCATTAGCGACAAGTTATTTTTTGTTGCAATTGGAATACACACAGTTGCATGTATCATGTTTTCTATGAAGGACACAGAAGGCCAGTAACTTCCATGAGAAGTAAAATATATTCTGTTGCCATAGTCCCATCCTCATGCATATGAGCAAGCTCCTGCTTTTGTACTTCAGACAAGACCAAACATAGTCTCAAAGAAATTCACTCATAATGCTTTTCAATGCTTTTAGGGTTTATGTTTTAAATAATATTTTTATATGTATTTTGCACAGGAACTAGTTTCATGGAGACCATGTCAATGTAAGATACTTTACACACTACAACCAACTATGTAGCTGTGACTTTTTCTAGGGAATTAGGCCAGTCATGTAGTAAAGTGCAATACTATCTGTAGCTGCTTGGCATTAGTATTTAAAAAAAACTTTGAGTGTGCTACCCTTTTCTAGTCTGCCTTAACTCTTCATATTTACATAGAATCACTTTTTGACAATATATCCCATTGCTTGTGGCAGCTTTTCCAATAGCTGCTGAATATATAATGCTTGTATCATGTTTACCAATAACAATGTTCAGCATTATGTAGGCATGGATATGAACCTCTGTCTGTTACGTCCATGAGCCCTAAATTAAAATACAAAATGTAGCTGCAGTCTAGGTAATCCAAGCTTCAGAATATAAATTTGCCTTTTAGAGCAAAATAGTTGACTGAGTGAAAAAGGAAAAAATAAATCTTTGTAGTTTTCATAATTAGTGAAGTATACAGTGATGTAACTACATCTAAAGCTAAAGCTTGGAAAGCTTGTTCCTTGGAAACTTTGAGATTTTTGAGATCAAGAGAGCAAATTTGGATATTCTTTTTCATTACAATTTGCATAAACACGAAGGCCAGAAGCATCCTTAAATCATTTAGGTTGTCTTCAAGGAAAGTTTAGAAAATTTTAACCACTTATTCAGTAAGATCAGTAATGTCTTCAAGTGAACTACAGTAGTTTCCAGATAGTCATCTACTCTTAACCTTGAAGGCATCAAACACCTAGAAAACCCTTCACAGAGTTTGCTATTGTGGTTAGAAATGTATTAATAGATAGCTTTGTTAAGTCCCCTGAGGAAATCTGTTTAGTAATGGCGTCTCTTAGTGGAAGTGATGTCCAGTCCTCTAAGAAGGGTCAATTAATGCCAAGCACACAAGAAACTTGCAATCACTCAAGAGAAAGGTGACACTAGTGCTGAATTGGGCCTGAATAATAATAAGAATTTTATTCCAGTGATAAGCACAGATTATGAATCTATACTTGGTGTTGCACTGAAACATGCAGTACTATCCCATCTCCTCCTTTGTTCTGGCACCAGAGCAGAGTGGCCTGGATCAGAGTGGATCCAGCTGAGAGCTAACCCAGTTTAAAAAGAAAGAGGCCAAATAGTGTTAATTCCCTTCCTAGATCAGCTCCCTCCATATGCTGTGTGGATTCTGTATGGATGTCCAATTTTTAGGCTGATAAAGTGCAGTGAAATGAGAAGGTAGAGGAAGGCTAGATGACTTCTGGTGTCAACATGAGTTAAGAGGATTTCTCAAACCACCAACGTATAATAACAAATCAATCCATTGAATTATATTCTTAAGCATGTTGAGCCATATTTGCCACTGCTTTTTACAATTTTCTTGCAGAGTGAGAAGTAAGACAGAGATGGAAATTCAAAACAGGGTGAAATTGGCAGCTCTTTGCTAGCTGTGCCCAGCTAATCACACTACTATACTTTTTTATTTTTTTTCTTTTCATTTAAAGATCAACTGGAATAACCCACCTGAACAATATTATCAAGAAAAATATGGTCCTGTAAACAATACAAGCCTGGAAGAAGGTAAAGCATCTTCAGAGATCAACTTTTACTTGGAGGAGTTAGAGAAATATACTTTTTCTCTATGGTAAGTAATCTCATCACCAAATAACTTCACAACTCAGAAGCATGCTTTGTTATTCTTGTATTACAGACGTATCTACATTCAGATGAAAGTTATTAAGCCGCAAATCCAATACGTAAAGTTTGACAATTACTTAAGCAATGTCAGATTGTCACCTTTCTGCATGCCTATTATGATTATGACATCATAGGCTATTTTTCCATAGAGATCATTTTTCTGTATGTGTGCTACTTGTTCAGGTAAATATTAAGTATTTTATTTTCTGCTGTTTGCTCACAGTAGCTCCTGGCCTTATTTACAACATGTATACCTTGCCTGGAATACAAGATTACTGATTTCATTGTACATTTCTTCCCAATAAAACTTTACAACCAATATTTCATTTTCATTCACAAAATCATTGTAAAGTGAAAAAAGGGTATTATTTCCCCTTCATAGATAGGGATATGAGGTAAGATATTTCTTGCATTTATAAGCAACCAATGTTTTTTGTTTGTTTGTTTGTATTTTACTCCTTATTATCTTGTATGACTGAGGATGATCAGAAAAAAAAATGGAAACAATTTATACCTGATAATGCAATTTTAAAATTCTAGTATTGCTTTTAGAAACTGTGAGTTTTGTCAAAAAAAAAAAAAAAAAAAAAAAAAAGGAATGGAAATGGAAGATTTATAGCAAAATCTCAGTTCTGTGTTTTAGTAACAATACACTATTATTCTTGGATGTTACTTTAAATATTAGTTTTCTCTATTATAAAATACAGATATGGGTAATGACATAAAATGAAAAGATAATTTAAAATGAAATTAAAAGACCTAATTAAAATGAAATCTTTTCTTTTACTTATAATTGTTTTTCCTGGGATTTCATCTTCAAGGTAATTGCAAAAGTTGGACAGTTATTTATAATTAGTAGAAAACAATGAAGACCCAATCCTTTGTGAAATGAAATAACAACCTTTCATATAACTGTATTGTGATTTAAAAGTTCAAATTGTGTTTTGAAAGTTCTTAACACAGCCATTTTGTATATCTCTTCCACCTGCAAATCATCTCCAAAGTCTCAAAGCATCCAGAAAATGAACATCAGGATAGGGAGGATGTCTCCAAAAATTTGGGTTCAAATGACTTCCCTATCAAACCATTGGAAAGCAGGATTAACTGCAAACCAAGCAGCCTCCAATATTGCTAGTCTGGATAATAGCCTGTCATTCCCTGCTCTCATTTGCCATGTTCAATTCATGCTTTTAAAGTTTGGCAGGAAATCAGGTGAAGACACTACAGAAACAAGGTATATTTTTACTATACAAACCTGAACTAATCCCTAGAGATGATCAGCACTGAGCATTGCATGATGCAACAATCAAGTGGAAAAAGCACATAATAAAAAAGACTGACATGATTTTGCTGAACTAATCAATATTATTTTGGACTATTAAAAACTCCTGCATCCTGGCCATGATTTAAGAAGATTTTAGAGTAGCAGTGTTCATCTAAATATCTTTGCCTGCTCCCACTGTTTTATTTACCTGTCTCAGTTTTCAAATTATATTACCCATATTATCATCAATGATTTCCATCTCAAGGTGCTCGTTTTATGTGTCAGTGTTTCTCTTGTGCGTCTTTTAGAGTTACAGCAATCCATTTAATATTTAAAGTCAGTAACTGGACAGCATCAATCTTTCTTTCCAAAGTCATTCAGCTTGAAAGTGTTGGGAAATGGGGCCCAAATTCACTCTTCCTTAGCAGCAAAGAACTCCTGGAGCACATATTAGTTTCTGGTCACTGTCCCTTCAGCAGCCCAGCTCCAGGCTTTTCAAGCTCATGGTCTCTGTGGTGGCAGGAATATATGGTTTGCACCCTGTAAGGTGCTCCAGCAGTAACAGCCATTATATGGGACCTCAGCTGGCATTCACCTCACAGGCATGGGATCTCAGCTGGCATTTACCTCACAGTCTTATATGGAACCCAAAACAAAATGATGGTTCTCTCCTCCTTTTGCTTTTCCATTTCCTCTGCTTGTCATTTCTGAGGAAACCTGGTTGATTTTTGGATCCCTGTGCCAGTGTGGACGCTGGCTTTACTGTGGTTCCATTAAGGGGACCAGAGCTATATTTGAGCACCATGAGTTACAGGGTGCAAACCATATATTCCCAGTACGAAACAAAGGCTACCAAGCATGCTTCCCAGTGACTGTGCTTTCTGTCCTTCAGTGAAAACAGCTGAGGATAGTATTTTATTATTTCAATATGCCATTCTATTTACAGCCTTTGTCATCCTGTTTGAAATAAGCATCACTGTTTGCTTTTTTTACTTTTTTGTTTATTATGTGAAGGTCCCATGAGCTTAGAACAAAACAGAATTTAGAGAGCATTTCTTTGCTTTCTGCTACACAAGTGGTAAAATGTCGTCTTTATCAGAAAGCAAAAGAAAAAGAATGGGAAAACAAATCATTCCATTCTTGGTAAAGTAATATAGATATTGTCCGTAACATGCCATATAAAGAATACATCTTTAATCGTCCTTTTTTTTTTTTTTACTTTTTTTTCTTTTTTTCTTTCTTTTTTTCTTTTTTTTTTTTCACTGAGAATTAATTCAGTTTCTGTCTGTAATTGAAAGAGTATCAGATCCCATACAAGTTGTTAATTGCATTTGCTAACATGTCAGTATGAGGTTTCAGTTGTTATTCACTTCTGTCCATCTTTTCTCCTTTCCTTGTCTCCTACTTTCTCCATCAAAGGGCGTCAAATCCTCTTTGTCTGTTTCCAGACCTTCCTCTCTGCTAGGATTGCTGCCTTTTAAAAAATGCAATGCAAGATAATTAGCTACTACAAAATTTTTTAAGAGGACTTTAGATCTGGGGGCAGCTTAGATGTCCATAAACTTCAGAGTTTCAGATGCTCCAAGATGCAATCTGAGCAATTTCCTTGATCTTTTACTGCAGCTGGTAAATCATTTATTGGGGCAGGTTATTTTACAAAATCCTCTTTAGAAACAAAATCCCATAAAATGTATTTATCATAAAATACTGCACAACCAACAGTCTTCAAAGTTGTACATACACAGTATTAATTAAAAGCTAGTGTTGTACTGTGACAAGTTAAAAGTATGCACCCACAGTCTCTCTTTCCTTCTCTCCCCCTGACTCTCCCTGTATTTATTTCTCTCTCCTTTCCTCTCTCTCATCATCTCTTTTCTTGTAGAGCTTGCCAAGGGGGAGATTGCAGAGCAGAAGCAAAATTTAGTTTTGTGATCAAAAATAGCTTTTTTGATAACTGTGATTATTTTTTTTCATTGCTCTAGCATCCTTGTCATTTTCCATTCAGATTAGTTTGACAGTGGTGTCTCACATCCATAGGCCAACCCTTCTTATAGCGGGCATCACACATGTATGTAATAAAAAGATGATAATTCTGGCTCCAGAAACCTCTAGCCTTCAGCTTTGATCTTTCAGGCTGCTCAAGTGGCTCTTCTACTGCACCCATGTGCATCCTTGCTGAAAGCAATTGTCTTTTTCTTAGACCCAGCTAGTGGAGGGGGAGATGAGTCCAAAACTTATGAAGAAAGAGAGCAGGTTAAGACAACAGATGAGTGTGGTCGTATATTAAAAGGAGGTGTGCACAGTTAATGTGATCAGCAAAAGGAGGCTTTGTAGGTACTGCTGGAGAGCTGACTCCAGGACCTGTCCTCATACCATGGCTTTGCTGAACCTCCTTTCTCTCAGCAGTTTGCCTTTCTAGAAACAAGAGCCCATGCAACCTGTAGCAGAATGTGGATATCTGTAGTGGCTATTGTCTAAAACAGATGAAATCTATAACCTTGAGAGAGAAAATGTTTGGACAAATTTCAATCCTTGCAGCCCAAAACCTGCTGTCAGAAGTTTTGTTGTTGTTGTTGGTGGTGGTGGTGGTGTTTTTTTTTTTTTCCTATCTTTGTTCTTCAGTCCCCTGAAATAAGCAGAATTTGATGAAAACTGTTCTTCACAGCTTTTTGTCACTATAAAGGCAGATTTTCTGAAAGGAGATAATAAGTACAGAAGTAAGAAATAATTTCAGCACTTCCACATTTTAAAACTGCTTTTTATATGCAGTTGTATTGGAGTTAGAGAAAACATCCCAGATTGCAAGAAGTTTTATCTGTTTCAATAACCCCAAATAATGTCATAAATGATTTTTATGACTCTAGGAATAAAGTTTGACTTCAAATACAAATAATGAACTAGTAGTTTCAATTACCACCAACTTATCGTCAAACGTGAACTCTTAAGGGTTAATATCACACAGTAATATAAAAGTAACAATCATCCTTTGTCTCCATGTAATTAGCTTTTTAACAACATGCCTGTAGCTCATATCGAGGCTAAATGCTGCTTTGAAATGTTTTCTCCTGAGCTCCAAACGTGTTAAGCTGATTTTGGCCAGCTTCTGTAAATACAATTTATTGCAGGACACCATCATTCATGAGGCAGAGTGGTGTATTGCCCCAGGTAGCTCAGGGGTAGGCTGGATGGTGCATTTCCAAAGGAAGATCAGAGAGCATCTTGAGACAGGAGATAAGATGTTGTCACACTGCACACAAGCATCAGTAAGAAATAAATCCTACCTACATGTAGATTTACATACTCACACCTCTAAAATCCTTGGGCTTGGGTCAGGCTTTGGTTCTGACTTGTAGCCATCAGGAGCAGACTTGGTCTGAGAAGGGTAGGAAGGGGAGAAGAAACAGGCTCTTGGCAGCACACAGCAGCCCAGACAAGGTGATAGGGTAGATGAGACCTTTGCAACGCTGCACCTGTAGCCCTGGTTTTACCTGCTCTTTTTTTTTTTTTTTTTTTTTTAATGAAATCACTAATCATACTGAGGGGCAGGAAGAGTTAACTGTAAGCAGCACAATATAGTAAAGTTGTTTTTAATAAAAACAATAAAATTCTTCTTTATAACACACATGCGATTTGACATTGAAATAAATGCAGATGCTTCTTTGCTTGGTGTATTCCCTGTTGTGCTTTCTAAAACACCTTCACATATGGTTTGCCTCATTCCTGTGAAACTGCTTGTTGTTTATGTCATACAAACAGAACAGATTGAATTTACACTGAGCAAGGAGAATGATGAATTAGACATTGGAAAATCCTTGTGTGGGTGTTTAAAATTTGTTCAAAATTAGTGGCGCCTGTTTACAAAGTTTCCCTGGATTCACCCTTGAAGTCTTCTAAAGATTTTGTTAAAATATAGAAGAGAATTGTGTGTCTGCCTATGCTGCCTTTTATTCAAATATGTAACATTTAGCTAAAATCAAAGGTCAAAATTTACCATTTTTTTATAGCTGTACTAGTACAATCTCCTTCTTGTACTATGTAGAAAATATT